GGAAAAGGATAAGTGAGGAGGTTAGGTTAAAACTTTATGGACAAGATCTAAGGAAAGTGAAGACATTTACATTTCTGGGAATATGGTTGGACGAGAGAGTCACATGGAGTACGCACATTGATAAAGTAGTGGATAAATGTAAAAGGGTTTTAAATGTTATGAGGTGCTTGGCAGGCACTAAGTGGGGGGCTGATAAAGCTGCTTTGAGGAACGTATACACAGCCTTAATAAGATCAGCCATAGAATACGGACTAATAGTGTATGGTTCAGCTGCATACTCTTCTCTTCAAAAATTAGATAGAGTCCAGGCACAAGCACTAAGGTTATGCTGTGGGGCAGTCAGATCTACACCAGTGTCGGCACTTCAGGTAGAGGTCGGAGAAATACCAATTTATTTGAGGAGAAAACAGTTAATTGTTCATTACTGGGCAAATCTTCAGGGCCATAAAGATGCTCACCCTACCAAACAAACTGTACAAACAAGTTGGGAAAGTAACAAAATAAAAAAAGAAAGTTTTTGTGTTTGTGTTTCAGAAATATGTAAGGAATTAAAAGTTAAAGAATGGAATATTAGTCCGACGGTGGTGTTATCAGCTGTTCCACTATGGTTGCTACCTCAACCTATAGAAGATTTATCACTATTGAAACGGTTACATTCAATGAAAAACAAAATCAATGTACAGGCTTATGTGAACACTGTTCTACATGAACAATATGGGCAGTTTATACAAATATTTACTGATGGATCCAAAAATCTAGAAAATGGTCAAACTAGTTGTGCATTTTATGTTCCTGAATTAAAAGTAAAAGTGAGAAAGCGTACGAGTGATCACATTGCAGTATATACAGTAGAGATGATGGCTATCTCACTAGCACTTCAGTGGGTAGAGGAAATACAGCCAATGCGAGTGGTCATTTGCTCTGACTCCAGCGCAGCTCTGGAGAGTATCAACAACTTCTCTTCAGAATGCCGTCAGGATATTTTACATGCAATTTTACACATCATGTTTAGGTTAATTCATCTGGGAATTGTTGTTCAATTTGTGTGGGTTCCAGCGCATGTGGGTATTAAAGGGAATTAAGTAGTGGATCAACTGGCAAAATGTGGTTTGAAAGCAAACCAGATTGATATTATGGTACCCATCAGTCGATCAGAAGTAAAATCTGTTACAAAAGTGGTTATCAAGCAACAATGGCAACAACTATGGGACAGTAACATCAAAGGAAGACATTTATACCAGATACAAAGGGAAGTAGGAACAGGAAGCACTTGGGGGAGTAGTAGAAGAGAACAGAACATTAACAGCAGGATAACATTGGGACACTCTGGATTAAACTCATCACTGCATCTGATTGGAAAACATCCAAATGGCAATTGTGATGGTAGCCAACAACCAGAGACAATACATCATGTATTTTTTAGCTGCCCGGAATATACAAGGCAAAGACTCATTCTGAAAACTGCACTGGAACAACTCAACGTCAAGGACATGGATTTCAAGTCAATATATGAAAGTAAATCAAGAAATGAAGCAAACAAGCTGATCTTCAAATTCCTCAAAAGCACTGGTCTGAGGACAAGGATTTAATATGAACATTTAATAACTCAACAGTAGGTGGCGATATATGCTCCAAGTGGAAGCGATTCGCCATTAAAGAGAAGAAGAAGAAGAAGCTCTCAACCGGGGTTGCGTTCCGATAATCCAAAAATCAGCCCCTAAATTCTAACCCTATCTCCTATTCCTTGACCTCTGAGTGAAACGTCACGGGGTTAAGGGATAGTGGATAGGAGAATTCAAAAGGACTTAGGAGAAGAGACTGCGGTACTTTAGAGCAGTGGTTCCCAAACTTTTTGTGCCCAAGGCACACCAAAGTACAAGTAAAAATCTCAAGGCACACCTATTGTGAAAAATAGCCCTTATAACACGTGTTATCACTCATATCATGTAAAATATCTGTAAATGTGCATAATTATTTACTAATGCCAAATAAAATGTGATAAAGACAACTATATTACTCATGAAATATTTATTAACGAAATATTTCAGAAATTAATTTGAAACTTTATCAAATTAGGCTTCATCAAAGCAGCAACACACTCATTTAAACCAGACAGGTCACAAAATAAAAAATGAGGCAAAGGAAACTCAGCAGAAATTCAGCACAGAGAAATGTCAATGCAAGGAAGCTGCATTGCATGGTCCTGAACTACAAAAAAAAAAATCATATTTTGAAAAAGTATTGATTTGAAAATAATATGATACAGTACTATTACGTCTGGGTCTCTGTGTTTCATTAAAGCTCGGCTCTGTGTGTGTGTGTGGAATGAGCCATTTTGTGTGTGTGCGCGAGCGAGAGAGAGAGATAGCGCACCGGTACCGGAGATCGTTGATGTTAGCTTCTGGTGCTAGCGAGCTACGCTAACGGATATAAGGAGTTTTTTTTAACAACAAAGTGGAGGAGAGTCCTCTCCTGTCAGACTGAGAGACTCAGTGAGCTAAAGGACTCTGTGTTATCTCAGTGGGTCTCAAACGTTTTGGTCACCATTAATGTAAACAATTATTTCCGAGGCACACATATGATCATTATAGTTATAAAAAAATAAGAGAATAAATTAAAAACAGGTATGAAATACTATATGACATTAAAAAATGAATAAAGTTTAAAAGGGGAGTGATTTGTAAAATATCCATAAAGAAATAGTAAATCTGTTTACAGTTCTGTGTTGAGAGATGTATCCATAGATCTCTTCATTTTGCTCTCAAAGTGCACCAGATTGATGCTTTTAACTTCAATATTTAAAAATCTTCTCGGAGGAGCTTGCCCCCGGACCCCCCTTTGTGAGGTTCACACACCACCTATAAAAATAGCACTTTACCCATGCTTACAAACCTATATGCCGTGAGCTGATTATCGAGCCTTCATTGTAACAGTCGCGGGAACATTGTGTATTTGCGTGGGGAGTGTTGCAGTAGAAAATTCCACTGTAGCACCCGGTACATTAATGGGAAACCCTAAATGTTTGAGCACCCTCTATAAAACGTCAAGCTACCCCACAGCACCCCCAAAATAAATCTCTGGCGCCGCCACTAAGCCTGACTATTTGTGTTGGGGGGCCCGACTTTTTTTTTTCTCCAAAGGGGGGGCCTGACAGAAAAAGTTTGAGAACCACTGCCTTAGCATGTGTTCTTTGCAGGTGTTTGTTGAGGTTTAACGTGGTGTTTACAGCAGTGGATAACAGCTTCTGGCCTGGACACAGTTTGCACCTCACCGTCACATTCCTGTCTATTCTTCGGACGAACTCAAAATAATGGACATACCTCCACCTCTCGAAAGTTATCGCTGACTCAGCCATGTTTATGCAGCACTGCACATGGAGATGTGGACGCACAAAGTAGGCCTACTGATATAGTAAATTAAAAAATAATTATTTTTGTGTAGTTGTATATTGCAATAATAACGTATGGTTGTCACAAAATCCCACGGCACACCCGGACTTGCCTCACGGCACACCAGTGTGCCGCGGCACACCGTTTGGGAACCACTGCTTTAGAGAATCCGAATGCACTTTCACTATCCGACGTGTTTATGATGCGCCAGCGGACGTCATGAATGTGCGTCTGCTGCTGTGGGGAAACTATGGAAACTACAGTTTTCTATACAGCGGACTACAACATGGATGTTTAATAAGAACGAGGGACTACTGTAAACTCATCTAGAGACTCTGCACCGTGCTCTGATGCTGTTGCTTTATGCTTTATGAACGTGGACAACAGAGAAACATATTCTTCATGACCAAAGTTGGAATTGAAATAAAAAAGGAAAGTGAAACTTATGCTCGTCACCCTCTCCCTCCGGTCCACATTAATACAAATGATCCCAATACGTATGATTGTATGAAAATATCTTAAAATCAATACAAATGTATTTATTATAAACGTTAGTCTTTACTATCTATCATTACATTACATTGCATTTAGCTGAGTATCACTGTGTATATCACCATTCAAACATCTTTTAAAAGTTGAACAAACCCCACACAGTCAGTAAAGACTGTGAGATGTTGACTTTATTTGATAATTTCAGTAAAAACTAACGTTCATATTTCTCTTTTTGATTATAATACTGATGAACGTTCAGAAAAAAGCACTTTGGCAATTTACCACATACCGGTCATAATCGGTTGTTTCCGTGAACGGCCGACTGTTGAGTGACGGCAAATGCTGCGGCTGCAATGCATTGTGGGGCAGCATTTTCTCCTCTCCTTTCGGTTAGGGAGGTCCAGTGGTTCCTAAGCTAAAGGCTTCGTATTATACATCCATGCTCTCAACATGCCCAGACTTGTAGTGATTTTCACCTCTTTTAATACTTTTCGCCTCATTCTGAAAGAAAGAAGTGAAATGTGCCAACGTGACGGCCGTCTTGGTGTGTGGTGCGGGACAGGAGATGTATCATTGAGCGGTTTCACACAAACAAAAGTGTTACTTCACAGTTTTACGACACATTTGCAAAATTATCTTTTAAATTGACAAACATCATATGTGTAATTCGTGGCACAATTCAAACGGGATTGAAAGATAATCTTTCTCTCCCCATTGACTTCAATAGGCCTACATAATTTTTCCGAAATAAGGTCCCATGGAGGTCCCCCGGAAAGGGAGGGACATAGGGCCTAAGCCATTGTAAAAATAAAACATGATAATGAATGGAAAAGTCCAAAATGTTCACTGGGAAAAGGCCCGTCACCTTTGAAATGCAGCAAGCAAAGTAAATAAACTAGGAAAGAAACTCAATAATACCTCATCATATTTCCCCAAACCCATGCTTTCATTTTTAACGCAGCAGGTCTAATAGTGTACATCCATGCAGATGCTTATTATCTTATGTATTGGTATAATGTCAAATGTTCTACCAACAATACCAATAATTCAGAGAATGACTAAAAACCTCTTCACCCATATTTGCGCATGCGCGTCAGTCGGTCGGATCCATCTTCACTCCATCACACATCCGGGTCCTCAGTGTCATATGACCAGTGCTGTCATTTAAGTAATTCAGCTGCAGCTAAAAAAAGCACATCGACCAACGTTAGCTTTCTGAGGTTTCCTGTTCTTTATCCAACGATGGCAACATTGGTGGCAAACAGAGCGATGGACATCAACAGCTTGTCAGCAGCTGCAAGGACACACACCCAGGCTGTGACGAGAAATTACATCTCCCAACCTCGGCTAAGTATGTAGCGTTAGCAGGCTGCGGGAGCTAGCTGCAGCTGTAGCTAGTAGCTAGCAAGGTTGTTGTGCTGCATTCAAAGACAGGGGAACGATGAGGAATGTAAACTCCTCAGTATACTCAGTGTATCTCAAGCTTTTATTTGTAAACTACACCAACAAACCTAATTCATTTGACAGTTTGCATGAAAACATTTTAGCTTTCATTCAGGACAGTAATGGGTTGTATTAATATGTAGTTATTAGGGTCCTGGAAAAGGGAAATAGTCGTTGGATGACCCAATTGGATTTTAATGAATTCCTGAATTGTAAATCTCGGAATAATCTGTTTCCAGAAATAAAACCATTTAATTTCAGTCACGGGACTGTTGGTTTTGAAATGTAGCCTAAATATGAACTTGGTGTAATAATGATGAAGATGATGCTTTTTCATTGAAGGCTGTGTATTCCCAGTAAACTTCAATGCAGCATATGTTGGTTAGCTATAAATTGTGGATCACGACTGTAAACAAGCTAATGTTTGCCATTTTTACCATGGCAATTCAATCCGTATTGATGTTGCTTATAGTAGTATAGCCGATTTCACAATTAGCTATACATGCCGTTTTTCTTTTCTATGTGCTACATGTACGTCAGTCAGTCGTGTGAAATGGCAAACCAGCTTAGCTAGCATGCTAGCTGTAGAGTGGCTAGTCATGCGCAGAGTCTTCGTTAACCAATTTCGCACACTTAAAACTGTGCTCATTTATTTTACCAAGCATAGTATGATTTAAAATCGTACGTTACAACATATCGGGAAAATCCCATTATTGTCACTAGTGATTACTGCGTACAAGCTCAGCGTTTCTACAACCCGATACCGCTAACGTTAGCTTAATGTCACTACACAGGATTGGCAAACACTGCAGACAGTCAGCTGACTGATGGTAGCCACAAGAATAAATGACCCAGCGTGCTATGTGTTTTAATCTATTGACTTGTTATTGAAACATGTAGTGCAAGCTAAACTGCCTTACTGTTACTGTGTGGTGCTATAACAATTCATTTTTAACATTTGTTTAGATGTGTTAAGAGCAGACTGATGACAGATTGGATGATCTGTCATGTGACATGAGCGTGCAGCCTGCAGTGTCGTTGACGCAACAAAACCTTCAGTTTCGGGCCTGATGGAAAGACAATGCTTTTTTATTCATTATAGCTACAGTTGTTGAAAAGGTTTAGTAAAGCTCACATATTGAATAATAAAGCAACACAAATTAAGCCACACAACTATTGGTTTACTGTACAGTGACCCATAGTTGAATATTTGGATTATTGTGTCAAATATGTATCCATGGAACATTGTAGCCATCTTTTGAGGATAGCATCAATAGCAATGGCAGGAGACTTAATCCCTATTGGCTTTCACCAGTCATCTTTCAGCTTTTTTCATTCGATACAAGTTAAATACAATTGCCCTCACCAACAGAAGCTTACGACAGATGAGTGTTGTTTTACTGAGTTTACTTTTATATTAATGGTCCCCTATTATACTGTTTTACATCAATATATTATAGGTCTCAGATATACAAAACATGTCTCTGAAGTGTTTGGCTCGAAAGACCAAACCGATCATTGTAGCATCCCATAAACCCCTCTGTTTCAGCCCTTCAAAAGTGCTGATTCTCTGTCTGTCACTTTACAGGGATGCAAACTTGTCCCCTTTCTGCATCCAAAATAGGTCGTTAGTTTGATTCATGCAGATCTGCAATAACAATATTTTTGGGGTATGGGGGAGGGGGGGGTCTGGGACCCGGAGTAATCTGCGGCCGCGAGCTGTTATGTGCCATCATGGTGTTATTTTTTTATATATTATAACGGCCCGTACACACAGCAGCTTTTGGCGATTTGTCCACCGCTTCAAGCGCGTCTCCGCCCATTGACTTTGAATGGGGATGACGTCACTTTCCCTCGCTTGTCGCCGAACTGCATTGTGGGGGGGGCGAGGCGAAGATTTCCAGGATGTTCAGGATTCCAAAGTTGAACAATGTTCAACTTTTGAGGCTGAGCTGGAAGCGACAGCCAATCAGATCCGTTTATGCAAATCTGACAGTTCAAGCGCTAGCCAATCAAACCGCGTGCAAGCTGGGAGAACGAGACCCGCAGTTCATTTCTATATTCCACAAAAATGGAGAAGTTAGTTATTGCGGTAGCAAATCACCCGGTTCTTTATGACCAGTCCCTATTTACTTACCGGGATACAAACCGGAGGAACCAGGCATGGAGGGAGGTGGCAGAGGCAGTGGGTGAAACTGGTAGGTTTTCGCTTGTTTGGGGATTTTATATCCAGTTTACTTCGTTGCTAGTTTACTTCGTTGCTAACAAGCATAGACAGTATCATTAGCCAGCATGGAATGTAGCATAAAATAGCACCATAAACATTAATCTCATAAATGTTCAAAATGTTAAAAAAATAAATGTTCATCATAGCCCTTCCTATTTGACAATAGTGTAGAAGAACCGGGTTTTTTTGCTTTGTATGTCGGGGGCGGGATATTCATGTGATATTCATGTGATTGGTTGTTGGTCGCGAAATCCCCAAGCTGTCAGACACGCCCAGCTCCAGGATTTTCAAGATTTGGTCAAAGCTGCTGTGTGGACGGCCCGTAATGAAGCAGTGAAGCCCAAAATGGCTTCACCGGACTGGCAGTATTTGAAGGTGTCCGAAAAAGACAATAAAATAGCGGTATGCAACGTGTGTGAAGCAGAAATCCTGCAGCTCCGCCCGCTGTGACGGACCGGTGAGCGGAGCAAAACACACAAGGGTTAGACCTAACACACTTGGCTATTTGAACTACCTCTGGAACAAGCTAAACTAGTTATAAATATATGTATTCTTCACTGTCGGGGCCCTCATTACTGGATCAGTGAGCTGCATGAGATACTGACAGGCTGTCAGGAGAGAGAGAGAGGGAGAGGGAGAGAGAGAGAGCGCTTCCGCTCATTCCTCCCGTGTTATTATCCAAAGTTAATGTAAACTTGAATAATGTACTTCATTTGAATGTAATAATTATGTTTGTTGTTGTTTGTGGAAGCGTCAGTGAATGAGCTGAGTTTTAAACATCACTTCAAATGGAAGATCTCGGATCGGCGATCGGTATCGGCCGATACTGATTCCGGCGATCGGTATCGCCAAGTGTGTTAGGTCTAACCCTTGTGTGTTTCGCTCCGCTCACCGGTCCGTCACAGCGGGCGGAGCTGCAGGATTTCTGCTTCACACACTTTGCATACCGCTATTTTATTGTCTTTTTCGGACATCTTCAAATACTGCCTGACCGGAAGCCATTTTGAAGCCAAAGTATTTTTATGACACATTTTGCATTTGTAATCTTTGAAATTAATTATTGGATAATATATTTGAGTACACTGTGCCGGGTTTATGGAGCCTTCCATTTTTCAGGGACAACAAAGTCCTCATACGTGATTTGGGCTAAATCTATTCCTAGTAGGGCTAACTGGCCGAAGTAGCCTTTATTGCCCGTCTCCAGTGTGTCGGAAGAGAAAGCACTCTCTAGTGACACAATTCCGTCCGAGACATTTTTGGATTAGGTTAGCGAATTTATCGCCTAGGTTTTGATGTCATATGAATGTCCTGCTTAAGGTCTGGTTTTCAATCTATTATGGTTGCCGCTGTAATTAGTTGTGTCCATATTGTGGTCTTGTTGATCTTTTATCGCCGTGCTGATTGCATCACTTCAACTACACAGTGAGTCTCGTGTTGTTTGACACTTTGCTCTGTGAGCCTGATGTTGAGCCTCTGACTTAATTATGGATGTGCATACTGGCAGTCGTCTCGCTCAGTGACACCTGTAGAGGCACAACTACATAACTTTAACATGTCATTATTAGCCAAGATAGTGCGCCATGCTTGTGTAAAACATGGTGGATGAGCAAATTGAAATATTTGTTCTACATCCTATTGGCTTTTTACTCTTGAAGGTTTTATTGCACTTGAAGAAGAGGGGAGTCCACTCCAGTGATCTCCATGTTATCTGTATGTCTCCCCTCCACCTAGAAAATGTGTTTCCTATACAGCAGGAGGGCTGAGAGACATTTCAGATAAACAGTGTATGGTTCAGATAAGATGAGGCACAATGTTCCTGTCAAGAAGAGGGACACTTGTTTTTCTTTTGACTGCAGATAATACACATCAGTAGGTTTTAGTACTCTTAATCAGTTGACAGTGAATCATTGAATTACAGCATAATATTTAGGACTGTTGTAACTTGAGAATGTTTTTGGTTCCTGTTGTGAGGTCGTTGGTTCCTGTTGTAACTTCCCCATTTGTACGTTTTTTAAATCCCATTTTGTGCCCAACCATATGAAGAGACAAACATTAAATAAATGTTTACTTTTGCAACCATTTTCAAATAAATCATACATTTTCAAGTAAATGTATTGAAATAACTTGGTACACACACATTACAGTAAAAAAAGTGACCTTTCACAGAATGGCTCAACTTGTGTCTCCTCGCTTCCTACTTCCTCCGTCTTAGCTGAGAAGAATCCGACTAGAGCTACTTTTTTGATGATCCTCGCTCATTTAATCATGTTAAATCCAGTTAGCTCTTTGACTCTGAAGCAGAGCATGGTGAGGGAGAGGAGGAGGGTAATAGTTTAAATGTGTTTATCCTTGCTGAATAATACATACCGAAAATGTGATTGTTGGCCCCGACTCCAGGAATGTTGTGTTATTAGAGAGTGGTAATGCCTTTTTCCATCATTGGGGTTTATATGGCAGTGATTACATCCAGCTATGTTGGTTTTAGTGATGGTCCAATTAGTCAACACTATAATTAAGGTTTATAAAGAGGGCCTGCCAGCTAAGTAAACCGTTAGTTATTTTTCCTAAAGCTATCTTGCTGGATTTACTGAATTAAGCATTGTCATTATTAAAGTAATATCTCAGGATATAATATATCTTCATGATTGCTTCAATTGATTTTGAATGTCTCAGATTAAAGG